AAGCTTGTTCTTGTTTGAATCATTTACTCTATAGATGTTCCCAAACTGTTCCATCTTTAAATATGATCTCTTCAAATCCAGGTTTTTATTCTTTATGCAGGAAATAAACTGGGCCTGCTTTTCATCATTTTGACTTAAAACTTTCAGGATATTAAAAAAAAAAAAAAGCCAAGCAAAGGGACATTCATTTTTCTAACAATCACTTCATATGCGTACATACACGTGCGCAGATAGACATAACTGATGAAGGCTGATAGTATAATTAAGTAAATCAGATTAGTTGCCAACATTCTTTCTGCTCTCCCACACCCCAAAGTTAATACTTTGAAGTTCTGTGCCAACAGCTATGATTCTGTTGAACTAATAAAGAAAAATGGTTTTCCTCCTGGGAGTGACACTAAATTAATCATCTTTCATTCCTTTTTTTTTTTTTTTTTGCTTCCCTGCCAGGAAACAGAAGTTATTTACAGATGTGAAAAAGGAAAACAAATACACTAAGCCTTCTTCTAACCCAATATATACAGATGCTTTATATACTGTGCACTGCACTAAAACACAGTAATGACTGTCACATGGGTCAAAATTCAGACGCTTGGCAATTGGCATGTATTTACAACAATTGCAGTATCTTGGGGTCCTGTGCAGGGGTGGTATTCACTTACTTTCCCTACCGGTTTGCAAAATGTGAGCGTGTGCACATGCGCACAGCTTCCACGCATGCGCTTTGTTTGTGCGCGTGCCTTCCATGCATGGCCCGGCCTCAAAAACGTGCCTAAATAGGACAGCATGGAGCCGGGGCAGGTGGGCGCCCACAATTTCCACTACCGGTTCACCTGAATTGGTCCGAACCGACTGAATACCACCTCTGGTCCTGTGATTGCCATTTACAAACTTCCCAGACAGCTTCTGACAAGCAAAGTCAATGGGGAATGTCAGATTTGCTTAACAACCACACAGTTTCACAGTGTGGTTACACTGTGTGTGGTCCACACAGTTAACTAAATCTGAATGTCAGATTCAGTTAACAACCAGATGTGATTCACTTTAAAAAAAAAAACACCTTGTTTAGCAATGGAAACTTTGCTCTCAGTTGTGGTCATAAACCAAGGATTATCTGTAATCAATTTTCCTGCCAAAGTGGGTTTTGAATCTCCCTCCCTCCCACAAGTGAACCTTTGTGATGATATTCCCTACACTTATGGTTCATTTCTGGGTCATAATGATCAACTCATTTGATGCTGTGAACAATTTCCCCATCTTTGTTCTCGTAACCTAATAAAAATGTCTTTAATTTCTGCTGTTTACATAGAAGGAACTAATTTTGCATGAACTATTTGATACTGAAGGATATTCATTAGGTGACCCACACATTCTTCTAAAATGCCAAGCTTGACAATTTCTCTTTGAATACTCCATTGATCATCCTTAATTGTTTCTTCAACATTTCTGACGTGAAATGCTGGTTGCGGTCACAGATTGTCCACCTAATTCTTGATCAGTGAAATGGGTTCTTCCCAATAAAGTTTTTTTGTTTATCAAATTTATTGGCTGCCCAACTTACCACACAGTAACCAGAGGTGATATTCAGCCGGTTCAGACCAGTTCGCCCAAACCGGTAGCGGAAATAGCGGGTAGGCCTGTCCCGGTGCTATGCCGTCCTATTTAGGCACATTTTGAAGCCGCGTGCATGCGTGCAAGTCGTGCATGTGAGCACAGTGCACGCGTGGAAGGCCGCATGCATGCACGGAAGTGGCGCGTGAGAGCAAAGCAAATGTGTGCCTGCGCACGCTCACATTTGCGAACCGGTGGGGAAAGTAAGTGAATCCCATGTTTCCCCTAAAATAAGACCCTGATTTTTTTTGAACCCTGAAATAAGTGCTTGGCCTTATTGCCATGCGCTCAAAAGCCCGATTGGGCTTATTATCAGGGGATGTCTTATTTTGGGGGAAACGGTACCACCTCTGACAGTAACTCTTTACACTTTTTGGCCCAGCAATACACAGAATTTACATCAACACGGTAATCAGCATAAACCACCTGTATACCTAACAGTGAATTTCAACTGGAATTGAATTTCAATTTCAAAGAGAACTGATGAGTACTTACTGCACAATTCCATTTCACAAAAAATAACTAGACAACCCTTTCTCACAGTAACTTCCTGCAAACTGAAATGAAAGGACATAGGCTAACTAACTCAAAGTACTGCCATCTATTGGTGACTTACAGCATTGTAGGCATTATTTTTCATTAAACCCTTTCTCTGACCGCATATTAATCTTGTCTGCTGTTTTAATCACTATAGCTAAGCTGATATAAAAAGACTGGGTATAGAGTAAAAAATTAAAAATAAAAAGGAAACAAAGCTAAGAACTTTAGGTATTACAGATGGATGAATGGGAAAATATGTGACTGAAAAGACTAACATTTCATTAACATTATAATTTTTTAAAAAAAAAATTATAAAACGATGTATTGTTGTATATGACGCCAGAAAATTTTTTCTTCCATGTATAAAGATACTTCGAATAGATATAGGAAGTATGGAAAGCATTTTATCATGCTTGGCTTGTAAAATTTTGGATTCAAATCAAAGGTGGGTTTCAGCAGGTTCTGACCAGTTCTGGACAACCAGTAGTGGAAATTTTGAGTAGTTCGGAGAATCGGTAGTAAAAATTCTGACTGGCCCCGGCCCCATCTATTCTCTGCCTCCCAAGTCCCAGCTGATTGGGAGGAAATGGGGATTTTGCAGTAACCTTCCCCTGGAGCGGGGTAGGAATGGAGATTTTACAGTATCCTTCCCCTGCCAAGCCCCACCAAGCCATGCCCACAGAACCGGTAGTAAAAATTTTTGAAACCCACCACTGATTCAAATATACAGTGATACAAAGAACGTTAGAGATTAATGTTCAACTGAAACTAGAACTTTCCTTGCTAGGATTAATGTATAGACAACTAGAAAAGACTTATGTGCAATTGTTTTTGTACATGACTGCAGCAAGATTATTATGGTATGTACCAAGATGAAAAGACCTTAAAATACACACAATGTATGGAACATTGGTAAAGAAAGGAACAAAGGAACAGTTGGTAAAGATGACCAAATTTGTAGAGATGACAAAACCGACTTGCTTGATTAACAAAAAGACAACATTTGTCAGTGACTGGAAACCCTTTATGGACTTTTTGCTGAAAACAGAAAAAATATGAGCATGTTTTATGGATTAGAAAGGATAGAATATGCAAATAAAGGAGCGAGTGTAACAGAAACGTATTTATAACTGCTGTAAAGAAGATCAGAAGCCATTTCTTTTTTTTCTTGTTCGCTTTCCTTTACACATATTTTTCATATTGTTTTTACTATTTAAAAATGATTTTAAGGAAAAATAATAATTAAAAAAAAGTTAAAAGGGAAACTCAATATACATGTCAGCAATAACTGAATGCTGATGATATTTGACTTGGGAAACTGTGCCCTGAAATAATAGACATCAACGTAATGTTTAAAAATGCTTGCAAAATGAGATCTTGGGGCTCTTATGGGCTCTCATCGGTATTTTTAATGTCCCTAAGCTTTGATAAAGCAAAGCAAGTAGTAATTGATAGAATGAAGGAGATGGAGTTCGAAGAAGAACTAAATAGGTTGCCTCTCCACAGTAGGGACAGAATCAAGCAGGGTGTGTGGGAATCAGCAAGATATCTAAATGATCTGATCTTCCCAAAACAAAGAATACCTTTCTTCAGAGCCAGATTTAATATTCTCCCCTCAGCACTTCTCCAGGGTAGGTACAAGAGAACACCAATAGCAGAACGGGTATGCATATGTGGAAAAGGAGAAGTCGAAGATATCTCACATGTTTTATTGTACTGTGAGTTATACAGAGTTTATAGGTCAGTGTATATTCTCCCTTTATTACAGAGATTGCCAGGGAGGGCAGACGACTTTTATGTAGGCTTTCTCCTCCAAGACTCAAATCCAGCTACCACGCGTGCAGTGGCAAAATTCTGTGTCGCTGCAATGTCCACACACACACACAAAATTGGTTACAGAATTATAGATGTCAACTGGTGCCAATTTTTTGGAGATATCTATAACAATTATTGGAAAAATACATTTAAGGATAAGGATAAGGATAATTTTATTTCTATACTGCCCCTCTCCCGAAGGACTCGGGGCGGTGTACAGCCAGGTAAAAATACAATACAAATATCACAATTTAAATTTTAAAAATTATTAAAAGTATTACATTTAAGGCCAATTAACTAAAAAACCCAAAAATTTAAGAATTCCAAATTTAAAACTCAATTTATGAAGCTAGCCCTGCCTGTCAGAAGAGCAGGGTCTTAAGAGCACAGCGGAAAACTCGGAGGTCAGAGATCTTGCGTATGTCCGGGGGCAGTTCATTCCAAAGGGCAGGGGCTCCCACAGAGAAAGCTCTCCCCCTGGGTGTTGCCAGCCGACATAATTTGGCCGACGGCACCCTGAGGAGTCCCTCTCTGTGGGAGCGAACTGAATGGTGGGAGGCTATCGGTGGCAGAAGGCGGTCTCGTAGGTACCCAGGTCCTGAGCCATGAAGCGCTTTAAAGGTGGTAACCAACACCTTGAATCGCACCCGGAAGACCACTGGGAGCCAGTGCGGCTCGCGCAGGAAAGGTGTTACATGGGCGCAACGGGTTAATTAAAGGCATTGATTCAATTGTGATTTTATATATAAAACAATCTCACTGGATTTTTTTGAATTTGCAGATATAAATTCATCTCCCCAAATTTTATTTACCAAATGTTTTCTATCTTTTTTTCCTTTCACTGATTTCTTTGATCCTTGTTATAACAGTAATATTAATACTGATATCCACTTTTGTTCCTTGTTTACTCACATACTTATCAGCTCTCCACTCATGTAAATTAGAGAGTCACCCTAACCGTTTGAGATCATGTATTTTCATAACAAAGATGTTATTATTCACGATTAATGTCAGTATTATTGTTCTGTATGCAGAATTGGTGCAGGGAAAGCGCCTCAGAGGGAGACCACAGCTGCGATATAAGGATATCTGCAAGACCCTGGGAATGGACACTAACAACTGGGAAACCTTGACCTCCGATCGTTCAGCTTGGAGGCTAAAGACGCAGCATGGCCTTCTCCAATTCGAAGAGACACTTGTTCGGCAGGCTGAGGCAAAGAGGCAGTCCCGGAACCAGCGAAATCTGGGGGCTAGACAGGGGACAGAATGTATCTGCCCTCATGTGGAAGGGATTGCCACTCTCGAATTGGCCTTTTTAGTCACACTAGATGCTGTTTTAGGACCTCTTTCCAGAGCCTCTTGAGCATAGCCTCTTGAGACTGAAGGATACCAATGATGTCAGTATTATTTTTAATCTGTTGTATGTCTCTTGCTGGTTGATGACCATAATAAAATTTTTATTCTTATTCTAAAACGAGATCTTAGGGATGTGAAAAAGGTTCTTCCAAAGGCTGTTTCTTATGCTGATTATGTGAATATGGGCAGTCCTCCTGGAACAATTACAAATGGGATTGACAATTCCATCACTAAGTGATGCAGTCGTAAAACAACATCAGTTCCAGCTGCAGTCGTTAAGTGAATCATTTGTACTTAAGTCTAACGTCACTTGAATGAGACTTGCAAATTCTTGCTGGCTTCCCTGTTGACTTTGTTCGTTAGAAGCTGTTGTGGAGGTTGTAGGTGGCAATCGCATGATGCTGCGGAATGCTGCAACTATTGTAAAGGTGAGCCAGTTGCAAAACGCCTGAATTGGGATGATGCAACCATAGGGAAGTTGCAATGGCTGCAACTTTGAGGACCAATCCTAAATCTCCTTTTTTAGTACCACTCTAACTTTGGTAACTGGTAAGCGAGAACTACCCGTATGTGTACATGTTTTAATTAATCCATTAAAAACTTTCAGAAAGGAAACAGAGAAGAAGCATATTATCCACACTGCTGCCTTTGGGAAAGACATTCAAAGTTTTAATGATAGACTCTGTTATCATCACCAATAGCTTAATATTTGAGAAATCCCTCCTCCTTCTCTGACTATGCCTGAGAGAAAAGAGGAGTTTTGTAAGGGGTGGGTTCTACTTACCTTTAGTACCGATTCACAAAGGGGCTGCATGCGCATGCGCAGAAGCTTCCTGATGACATTGGGGTTGGTGGGCGGAGCCTCCTGCCGGTTTTACTACCGGTTCTATAGAACCGGTCCTAACTGGGGGCAACCCATCACTGGACCACACCTATAGAAAGAAAGTATTACTTGTGGCCAAAACCAACAGATTCTTCTTCTTAAAGCCTTTGTTTGAAAAATAGGAGAGAGTATAATGCAAATGCACCAAATTCATTTTGAATTTTTAAATCTAATGTAAATATGTCCAGAATGTAATATTTTGTGACTTTTTTTTTGCATTATATAATTTCATTCTAACAACTATAGCAGCCATGTGAAAGATATTCCAAACTGAAGGAATGTTCTTTCTGCGAATGAGAAAAAAAAAAGTCAAGGAGGAGACATTCAAGGATGAGGAAATAATTAAAATGCTAATGAAGTTGGATGAAGCAAAGGTATTTATCTAAGTATCCATGGAAGGCGAAGATAGAATTTTAAAGGCTCAGTGAAAGGTTGTGCCTAAATAAACATAATTACAAGAAGAAAATGAAAACTCACAATGGAGAAGTAAACATTTTAATTTATTTATCTTGCAATATTTATATACCACTCCAACTTCCAGGCTTTTGAATAGTGTACAAACAATTGCACAAAGAAATAATTAAGGCAAGACTATAAATATAAAAAAAGCTCTAGGAGGCCATTTGTAATCTTCATCCCAGATTAAAGGCCCATTAAAGAAGAAAAAGCAAGAACTGAAGGATGAATAACAGTAACAGAGTTGGAAGGGACCTTGGAGGTCATCTAGTCCAACCCCCTGCTCACGCAGGAGACCTATACTAGGGATTCGAACCGCCGAACTGAGACAGGCATACCCCCCCCTCAAAAAAAATATCATGGAAAGGTTCACTTCTTACTTCAGCAACACAGTGATGATGGAGCAGGATGATGAGGGTCACATTTTGTGAGGTTGATGTCCATTATATTCTACATTTTACCTTTGCTTGTCTCCTCTTTTGTCCTATTTTTGAACGGCACTTTTCCTTCTCTCCAATGATGCATAAATGGCTGCCATAGTCCAAATAGTCATCTGGCACTACACCTTCTATCAGATTCTACCCTGAGGAGGTGAGAATGCAGATCTCGTCTCACAGTGGGAAAGGAGGAGACAGATGGCACTTATTAGCCAGAATGCAACCTTATCCAAGGTCAGGAAGATGTCTTCTCCAAGAACAGTGAAGTCTTTCTACAGAAGGACAAATAATAGATGGTGCTAAGTGTGAGGCTTCCATCTCAGCTTATTGGAAGTTCACTATATTATTATTATTATTATTATTATTATTATTATTATTATTATTATTATTATTATTATTATTATTATTATTTTATTTTATTTTATTTTATTTTATTATTTTTTGCAGAACATATCTTTCAGTTCTGTTAATTTAAGATTGACTTAAGTAGTAGAAGTAAAAGCACAGACAATTAAAGAGGGGGGAAAAGTGTTGCTTCCTCTATTTATTTAGTGGGGAGTGGAAACACTTGAGAATAAAAATGCCATGTAAAACTACACCATCCCTGAGCAGGAAGAAAATCATTAGGCCTAAACCAACAGAGTTTTTCAAAAGCTTCTAAGTTCCCTAACACATAATGACTTACTGACTCATACTTAAGATGACTCATGAAAAGGAAAGAACAAGGCTGTGGGCCTCCCTGTATCAGTTGTCACATCTCGGGTGTGGAATGAATGGTGAAGTCACTGGGAAGGGCAGGGAGAGAAAAAGCACACTGAAGTGGGTCATATGTATACCAAGCAACCTTAAAGCAGTCTATTCACTGGCTCTGACAGGAAAGAGACTTGGCATTTTGTAAAATGCCAGAAGAACACAGAGTGTTAGCTATCATACAATAGAACAATGAGATCAAGTCCAGTTTGGTGACAGAATAGTTCCTGTAGAAGTTGAAGATAGCGTGATAGGCCTACCTATGTCCTTACGATCTATTTTTGTTTTTGTTCAACCCTTAAGGGAGAGCTGCAGGTTCCAGAGATTCAACACAAATATATCTGGCTGAGGTACATCAAAATAAAATACGTATCAGGAAGCTAAGTCAATGACATGGTTCACACATCCCAGAAAAGCTACAAGGAGGTTCTTTTGCTTCTGGCTTCAAGAATCCAGCCATTCTGAGTTGTACTTTAAGAGACTGTATTGTTTGAATTGTGTTGACTCCTAACTGTCAGTGACCTTCTAGGGCAGAGGTGGGGAACGATCAATGATGGCCCTTTTATGACTTGTGGACTTGAAGTCTATAACTCATAAAAGAGTCATCTTCCCCACCTGTTCTAGGCCATCAGGGAAGTTACTTTTGGTTAACCTTTTGTATATATACACACCAAAATGTGAAGAATGAAACTCAGAGTCTTATTCACAGAAATGAAGTATGAGAAGTTTCAGAGGCACATTTCACCTCAACATAGTTTAAATCAAAGTATCCCTTCAAAGCATTTCAACAAATAAAAAGGTTTAGGACTTCCAAACATTGGAACAGAGGGGCTATGTCCTTTACATCAATTGGATGGAACAGCAATGAACAGGTTAACCTTGCTTTGCTGCTTCAGTATAATAGAACATCTTTGAATATTGAGGCAAAGTACCTCAGTGGAACAAAGCACACTTGTAGTACAAAAAGAAAAACAAAACAAAAAAAATTCTTTTCCTGGGCTGCAGGCTTTTACATGGCTCTATTTTGTGGTCTACCAGAAGTTTGGGGGCATGAAGTTGACATGCCTTTAGGATGCTTCCAGAGATTCATCTGAGAGCCCCATGTTTAAGTAAATGTGACACTCCTACCACTACTCCTGAATCAAATGATTCAGAACATGTCACGTTTCCTACTTTTATACTTTTTATACATATATTTCTTTTATAATTCTCTTGCTCACCCATTTCAAGTTTTGCACTACCATCATACCTTGGATATGCTTCAGTGGTGGGTTTCAAAAATTTTTACTACCGGTTCTGTGGGTGTGGCTTGGTGGGCGTGGCATGGTAGGCGTGGCAGGGGAAGGATACTGCAAAATCTCTATTCCCTCCCCACTCCAGGGGAAGGATACTTTAAAATCTCCATTCTGTCCCCAATCCAGGAGAAGTTTACTGCAAAATCCCCATTTCTTCCCAATCAGCTAGGAATTTGGAGGCAAAGAATAGATGGGGGTGGGGCCAGTCAGAATTTTTACTGCCGGTTCTCTGAACTAGTCAAAATTTCCGCTACCGGTTTTCCTGAACTGGTCAGAACCTGCTGAAACCCACCTCTAATATGCTTCCTTCTTTCATCCCTCTCCCCTGCAAAATGAATATTTGACATAGAATTGCAGACCTTCAAAAGTAATTCTGAATTAACACATTAGGCTACAATGTGCTGGTTTGCTTTTTGCTTAGAGCAACATGTGAACCTGTCTAATAATAGTTTACTTAACAAACTATGGGAAAATAGGGCCTGGTAGCTCAGCAGAGTGATAGCATTGTGATTAACACCAGCTGTCTGCAATTACTGTAAGTTCGAATCTCACCAGGCTCAAGGTTGACTCAGCCTTCCATCCTTTTTAAGGTAGGTAAATTGAGGACCCAGTTTGTAGGGGCAATAAGCTGACTTTGTATAAATATACAAAAGTATGAAGGCTATTGCTCAATGCATTGTAAGCCGCCCTGAGTCTCCGGAGGAAGGTGACATATAAATCAAATTAAAATAAATAAATAAATAAATAATGGCTTAGCACAGTGGTTCTCAACCTTCCTAATGCCGCGACCCTTTAATACAGTTCCTCATGTTGTGGTGACCCCAACCAGGGGTGGGTTCTAAATTTTTTTACTACCTGTTCTGTGGGCGTGGCTTATTTGTGGGCGTGGCTGGAGATCATGTGACTGGATGGGCGTGGCTAGTTGGTCATGTGACCAGATGGCCATGGCTATATGTATAGGGACTACTCAGAGAGCTGAAAAAAGTCATTTCTGACAGGTCCTCGGACTTTTGACTGGTCCTCACACTTATGACCATCCTCACATTTATGCCTGTGCAGCATTCTTCACAACCATGTCACTCATTTCACAACTGCTTCTCTTCATCATGGTGACAAGATAGGGCAAAAAACGTAAAATGTGACGACAGTCGTAAATTCGAGGACTGGTCAAAAGTGCGAGGACTAGTCAAAAATAACTTTTTCAGCCCTCTGAGTAGTCCCTGTGCACAAAAGGACTACCCAGAGGGCTGAAAAAAGTGATTTCTAACAGGTCCTCGCACTTTTGACCGGTC